CTAAAAAGATAGTTCTAAAGTTTCCTCGCTCAAACCTGTATAGATCAGCCCCAACACCCAAGCCAGCAGAAAAGTATAAATGTCTTTGTGTTGTCGAAGGCTTGCATGGCTGGAATCACTGGGTTGCTGTAGGTTTTTCTGGCAAAATGGCCATGTTCTAGAAGCATTCTCTCCTGACATTTCACCTGCATCTATGGCAAGCATCTGATGATGGTTGCTATAGATGCAGGCAAAATGTCGGGAGATCATGCTTCCAGAACATGGCCATATAGCCTGAAAAACCTACAACAACCCAGTAAGGAGATGGTTCTCTACTAAACCTCACTACCTCTGAGGATGCTTCCTATAGATGCAGGCAAAACGTCAGGAGAGAATGCTTCTAGAGTCTGGCCATTTTGCCAGAAAAACCTACAGCAACCCAGTGATTCCAGCCATGCAAGCCTTCGACAACTCAAAGACATTTATACTTTTCTGCTGGCTTCAGGAGAATGCATGACTCATGACACATCCTCAAAGAGTTTGTTCCAGAGCCTCGGGGCTATGGCTGTCAAGTCCCTGATCCTAGAGATGTTCCGATTTCCCACCGAGCAGCCAATTCTGCTCAGGTGTTTCCCTGAATCCTGTTTTCGCCGTGGGCTCCCCACTAGATGTTCCCCCCTCCCCGTCCCTTTGGAGAGAGTCAGCGTTGAAAGCCCCGTCAAGGCCAGCCATCCGCACGGCATAACAGAACCCCTGCTGACCAGCCAATGCGGAGGACGGCGACTGGCAGGAGTTCAGCGTTCCTTTCCCAGCCCTGCTGAAAGCCCTGCGTGATAATAAACCAAGACTCCTTTCCTCTGTGTTTTTGTTTTTCCCAGCAGGAAAGTATCCCAAACTGACCCTGGGGAAGGCTGCTTCCTCGCTCGGTCTTTTGTCTCAAAGATCTCTGCTCATGTTGTCTGGGCCAATCCTGCCAGGGGCTCGTTCTCACCCCTCGCTCCCATGAATGAGAAGGAGAGAAAGAGGCTGGTTCCTAAGAAACGGCTCTCACAAAGCACAGCCATGAAACCTCAGTGAATGTTGTGCTTCGACTTGGGGTCCCATCTCCACGATATCTCATGAGGCATATGCAAGGATTCCAACTTCTGAAATAGGAAACACTTCTGGTCCCAAACCTTTCAGATAAGGGGAAATTAACCTGAAATATTATTATTATTATTATTATTATTATTATTATTATTATTATTAT